TAGTATTATAAGAGGATTGACCTAGGACAGGGATTCTTACAAATGTGGAAGGCAAATGAATTTGGAGCTCTGGTGGCCTAATGGTAAGAAGCTGTGCTGTAATCCTGAAGGCACAAGGTTCAAATCTACCAGCTCCTCTGCGGGAGAAGGATGGGCAATCTCCTCCCATGTGATTAAAACCCACTGTTTCTGAAAACCCACTGGAGTGTCAGCTGGGGAGGATTGGTTCCAACTTGATGGTGCACAACAACACGTGAATTTAGATAGAAAAAGAATGCATCTTTATTTTCTCCAAATTGTAACAGAAATGCCCATCTTGGTCCATTACAAACAGAGAGAGTAGACAGTAAGTACCACATATCTGTCTCTCCAGCTAGGCCTTGAGTTCTTTGGGGGCTTGTGCCTGTGCCTTACTCACCTCTGAATTTCCATTTAGTGCTAAACCTGGCACAGGGCAAGTGGAAAGTCAGTGACTGTTCAAGGACTCCCTCTAAGAAAGAGGCACCACTTATATCCCCTTTCTGCTCCACCCAGAAAGACGCCAGCTCTGTCTGGAAGTGGGGCCTCCCTCTGCTTTCTGGGTTTATGCAGGAACGTTTTGCTGCTTGGAGTCTCTCCATCCAACACAATATATGTCAGCAAAGCAAAAGTCTCATAGATGGGGCCAAGGAGGTCCTGCCCAGCCATCCTTCCTGTTGGAGTATGCTATATATCAATAAAAGCTGGACATGTATGCAAATACCAGTCAGCTTTCTGAACTGTATCACTGAACTTTCTAGATTCCCCCCCCCCATCTTAATGATATTTGCTCTTGGTCTACCTGGATATAGATGCAAAGCTGTGCTGAACTGTCAATAATACTGCCTGAGGACAAGGACTACAACAAGGGAAACATCCAGGGGACAAAATCTTGAGCTGAATGGTGCCAAATGCCAACAAGGAAATACTGAAAGCAAAGGCCCCATCCCAAGATTATACACCAAGATAAGAGAACTTGAGCAAATATGCAAGCAAAAGACCCCAGCCGTTCTCTGAAGGCAACTTAAACACTTTTGAGCCAAATATATTTTACTATCATTATGCTTCACATAAAAGAATTTGAATGAGAAGAAAACTCATAAATGCTGTAATTAAAAAAAAACCAAACCAACCCCACACCAAAACCCAAACCAATTCAGTCCACTCTTAAATTTACACAGTACATATGAGATTTGATATTCTAATACCTCCGTTTTGAATTTTAACGCAAGGATATTAAGAAGAAATCAGGGAGGAGGTAGAGGACACAGAAGATCAAGAAGACAAGAAAATAAGGAAAATAATGCTGTTCCAGAAGTGGAGTTTTTGAGAACAAGTACAGAATGCTCAAGAGTCTGGTGAGAATACCAGAGGCACACTTTCCATTCTGCTGATCTGGTCAGTGATCCCCAAAGCCTTTCATCTCTAATCTTCAGATCCATTCAGGAGCCAGACACAGGGCTTGTTTTTTTGGAATTTTGCCTGCTACAGCAGAGTTGGTCTGCATAGGCATTCACCGTAACAATGACAACAGCAGAAAACTACCTCTTTCATTTAAAAAAAAACCAACCACTTGTGGGGCCCTATGTAAGACCCACAGGGGCCCCAAGAACAGAAGTTAGTTGTCACCTTTCTTTCTAAGTAGCAGTGCTGATACTCATGGCACCTGGAGGAAAAGTCCTATTTGTTGTGGTGTGCCATCAAGATTATGACAATAGTTTGGAAAAACGGTAGCATTGTGGAGCAGGTAGGGAAAGGGGGTGGTAGAGGAGTGGGGGGAGAAAATGTACAATAATGGATAGATTAATTTCTCCCCCCCCCGAATTAATATGATCCTACGTGACAGAGCACAACTGCCCCATAGATTTTCCTAGCTTGTCACTTTCATGGTAAAGAGTAAGGTGTCACTTTAAAGATTAAGGGGTGTCAGATCATGGTATGTTCAATTGCTTCCTATGGATCTCAAAGTTGAACAATGAATAAGGATGACAGAAGAATTGATGGCTTTGAGTTGTGGTGTTGGACATGAACACTGAATATCCCTATGGACTGCCAAAAGAAAAACAAGTCTATCTTGGAAGTAGTGCAACCGAGGTGCTCCTTTGAGGCAAGGATGGTGAAACTTCATCTCCTATACTATGGGTATATTTTCAGAAGGAACCCATCCGTGGAAAAAGACATCATGCTTGGCAAGATGGAGGGTCAGGGAAAGAGAGGAAGAGCCCCGCAAGATGGATTGACACAGTGGCTGTAACGATGGGCTCGAGCATATCAAAGATTTGTGAGGATGGTGCAGGTTAGGCAAGGTTTACATCTGTTTTCTATAGGGTCGCGATGACTTGTAGTTGACCTGAAGGCACCTGACAACAACTAACAACGATCTTCCATTTTAACCACGGCACCATGAGAGCCCGTCCATTTTGTATCTACGAAAGCCCAGTCTACAAGTGCTCAGGCAGGCAGAGCTCCGCTAGACAGAAGATAACTCTGACCCTGACTGGTATCCAGGTTTTCAGCTAGGCGCCAGAGGCCTCCCACTCTCAGAACCGACACAATTTGGATTCCACTAGGAAACTCTGATAACTGAGTGGTAAGAAACTGTGCCGCCAATCCAAAACCACGCGATTCTAATCCACCAGCTTTTCTGTGGGAGAAAGCTGGGCATTCTCCTCCCGTGGGATTTACTGCCTCTGTAAACTCACTGGAGGGTCGGCTACTGGTCCGTTTCAACTCCATACACGGCATCCTCCTTCTTTCTTTCTTTGTTTTTAAAAATTTTATTTTTAATAATTTTAATGAACATTTACAAAGATTTTGGATCCCCATTCATTCGTTGTTGCACTCTTCTCCCTGCCCAGGCCTCCCTCCCGCCCCCCACAACCCCAGTTTGCTCCTCTCTTTGAAAAAGTAAAAGAAAAATTCTTTCATTGGTATACAATCCCCCCGCACCCCTCCACCGCCCCAGGTACACTCCACTATGCACCCTTAATTCTGGACTCTTGTGATAACTATAATACCCTATCATATTTATCCCGGTTTTCTCAGTCTTACCCCAACCCTGATATCAGTCCCTTCCTTCAGATGTCTTCCCAAGACATGGATCGCTGAGCCCCAGTAAGGACGTGTTCAGCATTTCAGACACAAGATGGCAGTATGCACTGCTTTATTTCCAGGGCATTGGACTGGTGAATGAAGGGCGCTCAAGCGGGGGGTTGAGTGCTGTGTGAATCCGGATCTAGTGGAGTTTTGTGTGAAAATTGCACACTATTACTTTAAAAAAATTTTCCAGAAGCCTGTATTTACTTAATCTTGCACATACAGAGTATTCCTGGTGTCCAAGTATACAGATAACCCCAAAAGCCCACCACTTGCCCACTTGGCACATCCCTACATTCATAAACGCGGGGTATGACCCAGGGCACCAGCGGTCCTGCTTCACGTATATATATATATCCCCTTGCACGCCACCTCAGTTCTAGAATCGTCGTTCTCCGCAAAATTGAGAGCTTCTCAGCTATCAGTTCAGGCAAGCAAATCTTACCCACCAAAATTTCTAGACAGGGTAATAAAAGGGCAAGTGTTCAGAGGAGAAGGCAACGGAATAATTTGGATTATGGGAAGGATAAATGAGCAAAAACTAGGGAGAAAATAGGCACTTGCTACAGCGAAGGAGGCAGGAGAAAAACAAGAGAAGGGACGTGGGAGAAGAAAATACGGAGGGGAAAAAGGGGAAGGGGAAGAAAAGTAATAGGTAAAGAAAAGAGAGGGAAACAAATTAGAGAATGGGGGCAAGGAAAGGGAGGGAAAAGAAATGAGGTCGGAAATAGAAGGAATGGGCAAAGAGAGGAAACGAGAGTGGGAAGAAATGAGGGAAAGAGTAGAAGGAAAAGTAAAGGTGTTTGTGAAGAGAGCAGTGGGGGGGGGGGGAGACCCAGCAGAGGAAAGTCGGCTGAAGAGAGGGCATTCCAGGAAATCGGGACAGAGAGCTCTTCAAGGCGGGGGTTCAGGGAAGAAAAGAGCGAGTTTTTAAAAAAGTGAAGTGAAGTGAAGTGCAAAGCACAGGGCAGAAAGTGAGGCCTGTGTGAACGTGCCTGTGTAAACTGGGTTTAAAGCCGTTTATTGAGGACTATTGATAGGTGCTCCCGAAGCCGTTTTCAAGGGGCAACAGCTCCAAGGCTGTAATACACAGGGCAAGTTTCGGGGAGGGGGGCGGCTTCTCTCCTGTAGGGGGAACCCAGCTGCAGAAGCGGCTGCCGGATGAGGGATAGTTCTCTTGAGAAGAGCCGAGCAGGGTGATTCAAGCGGCTTGGTGGTGGGACATTCTGGGTTTCTAGATCTCGGGGCTTGTAGATTTCAGCGAGAGGATGCGCCCGGCGCCGGGCACGCGGCGCGCCGCGGGAGGGCGAGCGGAGCCGGCTCCCGAGAGCGTGGGCAGCCCTGGGAGCCTGAGGCAGTTATGCGTGCAAGGGCGCGGGCGGGCGCGGGGCCGGTCAGGGAAGCCCGCGCCCTGGCGGCCCCTGGGGGTCATTTTACATGCTGTCACGGCCCCCGCTGACTTCACTGGCGCTCGGCTCCTGCCGCCGCAGTTCAGCTGGCACAGCCCGGGAGAACCCGAAAGCGGGAGGGCCAGCGAGCTGCCGAAGGAGGGAGCTCTGGAGGGAGGGAGCACAGGCGGCCCTGCTGCCCGCCCTTCCTGCTGCCACAGGTCCGCCCTGAGTCTCACACTTGGGAAACTTGGGACGCAGGGAGCAGCGTGTGGCACCTCAAGGGGGCGGCCCCGGCCTCGGAGAAGGGTAGGGAGGGAGAAGGAGGAGGAAGAGGAGGAAGTGAACCCGAAAGGATCAGATCGGAGCTGTTTGTCCAGCTGTTTCTATTCGCACCCTGGGCAGCCCAGCCTTGAAAGGGGCCCATGAGCAGAGGGTGGTAAGCTTCTAATTGCCCACGCTTCTTCTCATAGCTTGTCTTTTCCAGGCACCCTGGAGTCCCCTCAGGCCAACTCAGAGGGCGCGCACCTGCCAGCTGCCCCTGAATTTGCAGCGCAGGAGACCCCCGAGCCCAAAAAGATGGCCCAGTCTAAGAGCGACTGCCGCTCACCTGTCGGCCTCGACTGTTGCAACTGCTGCCTGGACCTGGCCCACCGGAGCGAGAACCCCAGCAGCGGTGAGAATAACAACCCCAACAACAGCCCCAGCGTGAGTAACTTTCGGCAGCTGCAGGAGAAGCTGATCTTCGAGAACCTCAACACCGACAAACTCAACAGCATAATGCGGCAGGATTCGCTCGAGCCTGTGCTGCGAGACCCCTGCTACTTGATCAACGAAGGCATCTGCAACCGCAACATCGACCAGACGATGCTTTCGATCCTGCTTTTTTTCCACAGGTGGGTGCTTGGGCGTACGGGTGGGCTCAAGGGCTCCCCTCTGGCCAGCCTCGGTCGGACCCTCCCCTACAACCTAAAGGGTGACCAGGAAGTTGGCGAAGGGCACCGAAGAGGGTGCAGTAGTGGATGGGCATGGGCTCACAGGTTGCCATGTCCTGTGGAGCTGATATGGGGGGACACGGGCAGGTGCCAGCCTCTCTCTGAGGGGCCCTTGCTGAGGCTTTCCTGCGGGGAGGGAAGATGCTCGGGCCCAGAAAGCGGATGGACTTCTGAGTGGTTTGGGGGTCCCCGATGAGCCCCTTTCCTCAAAGGTGTACATCTCCGAAACCACTTTGGTGATTCAGAAGTTCTAAAAACAAACGCGCCCACTTGGATTGAAATCGGACAAGGGTTTTTAATGACGAAGTGCCTCTGACCGACAGGGAGGCAGACCAATATTCTAGATGAGTTCTTTTGGGGAGAGGATAAGAACAATTTGAGACCTGGGGGAGTTATTTGAGATTCTAGTGGGAGGAGGGACCCATCCCTACCATGGACCTTGATTTTCAGATGATGGCTCAAAAACTCTCCCAGAGAGTGTCCCATCACTTTGAGTACTTGAACTGTTTGTGGCCAGCGGCCTGGACAGTCCCTGTGATCATGCAGTATGTGTGTGTTAGAGTGTGGGTCAGACTTTCTTGAAAGCTTACTGGGGAAGCAAGGAAGAGACTAAGAAGAGTGGGGGGGACACAGTGGGAAGATCAGAAATAGCCACTGTGATTCTGGTAAAAGTCAACCCTGGGTGAACAACTGAAGCAGCTTAGTGCCAGGCCGGGCCACTTCAAGAAGTGGTTTTGGTGTTCTAATAACCATGGTCGACCACGCTCTAGTGTCTACGTGAGAAGGGATAGATTTTACTCCCTCACGATGTAGGTAAGAGACAGAGAGACTTTACAGTATTGTAAAGATTTCTTGTAGCGCTGAGATTCCAAGATATGGGCAGGTGGACATGGTTAAGGTAACAGTCAACGAAGTGTTTTGCAAGATGATAAGAACTTCGGGGCACTTAGGAAACCATTTGAATGGTTTTTCAGTGATGCACAAATAGGGAATTTTTAAAGCGACTAAGAGAGACTGGAGCTACCCTCCCTTAAGTGCTAAGACAAGGTTCGCCTCCCTTTGCTCCAGAGCAAATCCACCATCACGTCCCCTCCAGATCCTGACCCCTACAAGGGCTTCCATGCACTGGAACATGAAGGACTGCCCACTCTGTTGGCATTTTAATCAGTTGTATTTCACTGGTACTTTCAACCCATCGAAGCGTTCCTCCCCACCCCCCCATCATTTCATTTTAGGCATCAAAGTCTGTCCAGGTCTAAAATAAACCAGGCCGCAGATGGAACAGGTTGGGAGGGGATCCTCACTTCGGGTGAAAGATTACTAACAAGTGTATTCAGACCGCACCACAGGCGCTGAAACCCTGCAGAGACCAAATCTTTAACAGGCTGCAAAAGATCTGTTAGAGAGGAACTGGCAAGTAGGGGGTAGAGGGGCTAACAGGTAGGGGTGTGTGTGTGTGTGTGTGTGTGTGTG